AGATTCGAAAAGCGCCAGAAAACAAGGACAACAGAAGGAATAGACGAAACTATGCGCTACTTTCATCTGAATTTTTATTCGGAAAAACAAACATATATATACACACCCAAGCAACTATTTGCTTCTAATCAAACTTCTCGTGAGATGAATTCAAATTTCTTTTGTGTATCACTGGCTTGTATATGGCTGATCGTAATGATCAAATTGGACTTAAATTTGGATTAAAGCTCGTGACTTAGCGCAACAATGTGTGGTAACGTGCTTCTGATAAGCCTACGAAGGTATTTATAAAAAAAATGCGTATGCACAGTAATATTTTGCGTGCCCATGACTTACCCATCGTTATTGCCATCATTTTGGAGTGACACTAAGTTTTTCCGTGTAGCACCAACACACATGGAGTGTGTTTCGACGGGTTGAAGTGAACTCGCTTATAGTAACACTAAACTAGCCCGTCTGACAGGGGTATAAGTCAAGTCTGTATCGTTTTCTTTAGCATAATGTATCTCGGCTTATAAAACTGTTTTTGCGAAACAAGGAAAGCATAATTCCTTCACAGTTATGTACCAAATCTAACCGCTAAAAAGCTAGCCGCTGCAACGACCCATGAGTGTAGTTAATGTGGAGAGTTTGTTCTCCCACTGCCTAAAGTGCCAGAGAGCAAGTGCTTGCGAAACACTTGTAAAATTGCTGGGCAATACGAACGCAAGTTCCCCTGCTTCTTGCATAGGGGTTGCGATGATGTGAGAACGCCATGCTTTTATTGGCTGATTGGAAAAAAAAGTGGGTAGACTTTAAGGCATCTATCATTTAGCTCTACCCATTATCCTTCTAATGAAAGCCAATCAGAATTCGGCATCGTTCTGACGTCACCGTAACCCCTGTACAAGATGCAGACGACTTGCTCTTCGCATTGGGCGCACACTCCATAGTCTTCTCACGCTAAGAAGCCCGTCCTGGTGGCTGATTGCGATAGAGTAATTAAATGACATATCCCGAGTATTGCCTCCCTTTCACTTATGCTGCCAACTCTTTATTGGTGGTGAAGGAGCCAGATGCGCCAAATTTGACTGCACAAGTTGCCTAAAATCGTCTCTTGCGGAGCGTTGGATTTGGGAGGAACATATATTTCGTATAGTTCGCGAAATGTAGATCTTACACTGAAGTCTGGCCAGCAGAAAGGTTCTCGAACCTTCAGACATTAGGTGTGCCACTTGAGCATGCATAATAGTGTTCCTATTATAACGCCAGCACTGCTTTAAAGCAGCTTACCAACATCAGACGACATGACCATAACCTCCTCTACACTGACAAAGCCTGGCAGTTCGACGACGGAGCCATGGACTGCCCGGTCCAGATTTGGAGCGCGAGGATCTGGTAGCACAGAGCATCAAAGAGCCATTTATTGGGGAACCTGGGCGTCAGCGCACAGATTTTGCAGTGACGAGGACCCGAAACACGCTTGTTCGCTCGGGAGAATTGAGTTTGGGTGTCTTGCCGCAGCGGGGCGCGAGTCACGTGGCTCTTTTATCTGTTGTCTGCAGCTCCACATTTTCCATTTCAGCGGCCACTTCTCGTGGCGATCTGCCAGGCTTTGCCAGTATATAGGAGGCTATGACATGACAAACGACGATGCAGCGTGCGCGCGCGTGCGACGACGGTTCCGAGAGGCCCGGGAGACGCACGACCGCGCATGCGCATTGAACCCCCGCCTTATGTCGTCGTGCCTGTCCCACCTCCTTCAAGAGTCATCATCAGGGAAATTTTCACGACACACTTATAAAATATCGATGTTCCTTGGGGTGCTATTAGCGGCGAGATGTTTCGGGGCGCCCTCGTTTGGTTACCTTTCGTGACGTCTTCACCTTGTGAACAAAAAGTTCGATGGTGTTTGTAATGAGCATGGTGAAAGCCTCAAATCATAGCGCTCTCAAAGCAACACTGCCAACACCGTCAAAGTTGAACTTCTTAGATTCCTCTGATTTGTGTCGATGAGAAATCCTTTGGTGACGTCAGTTGCAGTGGGCCGACCACAGCGACGCTTTCAATCGCTCACGTCGCCAATAGACCGATCTCACCAGCTAGTTTGAGTACGCCACCGCTGCCGAAATGCACCGTGGGAGCTGTAGTCTTTCTGCGCGCGCGACAACCCTGCTGGAGCTCTGCGCAAGCAGAGCACGAGGCAGCATGAGCTCTCTCGTGATCTGGCGTCTGCCTCCTACGAACTACAGTTATGGTGGCGTCACGCATGCGTGGAACGCTTGGTGGGATCGGTCTCTTGACGCTGGTATTGAAAACAGTAGTCACTAACAAGGAGAAAACAGAAAAGAAAAGCTGCAGCCGCCTTGCCACCAGCGCGAACTTCCTAGCCTCGACAATTCTTCGGCGTCTCGAGCGACAGATACCTCGAGCGCGCGCGTTCAGCCAAAAGACGACAGTGGTGGTAATACAAACTTTATTGAGCTACTTTAGGAAAGTGCAAAGGTTGTGGTGAAGCCCTCAGTCCAGGACTCCAGCGCTTTCTGCTCTAGCTCTTACCCGCCGGATCAGGGCGAGCTGGTCGTTGGGGGAGGAGCTGCGCAGCGAAACTTCCCAGGCCTCGAGTTCGTAGGGGGGGGGGGGGGGGGGGGGGGGCTGGAGGGGGAAAGGAAGGGGTTCAAGGAACAGACTCACGTAACGCGGAAGAGGGATGGGTGAACTCCACCAAAGGGACACTCGGCTGGGTATTGTTGAGGAAGGAGTTTGTGCAATAAAGTTAAGTGTGTGTATGTGTTTGTCTGGAGTTGTCGCCAAGCTGTGGCCTCCTGTCGGGTCAGCGTCTTGTGCGGCGGTGGGTACTCTCTTCTGCATTCCCCCGCAGAATGCTAAAGCCTAAAAGGTCCGTGGGGTGTACGGGCGTGGCAAGGAGCTGTGCCTCCTCTTCTTCTTGTGGGAGAAGGACTCAACACGTTGAACGGCGGCTGCTGGCCGTGGAAGGAGGGGTGGTTCGGAGGATACCAGCTCGAGCCGCAGCCGATTTTCCTCCACGTTGCCGTGACCGGGCGTCTAGTCGAGGGTAGCCCTTGGGAGGTTGGGTAGAACAGTTCCGAGTACGTGGAGCGCTTGAGGTGAGATTCTTCCGGCGAGGTAGCGTCGTAGGGCTGCCTGAGACTCTGTCAGGAGCGGCGGTGATTCTGGGGTGGCGGCGGTGAGAGCTAGTGCGATGTCCAGCTCCTCCGCCACGACCGGGAGATTCGTACATAGCAAGGCAATGACCAGAGGTCCGCCAAACGGTCTGACGACGCATGCCGCCGCTATGGTTTCGGTGGGGTGCGTTGCTGCCTCTCTGTATCTGGCGTACTTCTTCCCGCGGTATTCTTTTGCGAGGAATTGGGCTCTCGCCGCCCCCCTACCTGCATGTAGTGTCGGGTTCACGTTGCCTGAGAGAGGGTTAACCTGGATCTTCTCGAGGATTTCCTCCGGAATCTGCGTCGTTTCCTACATCTCTCTCGGGATAGCGAAGCCGAGGGTTCTCAGCATGTGTTTGCCTGTTGACGTGGTCAAGAGTCGTATCCGCAGTTTTTTGGTTTGCGCTTCTGCATTTTTCATGTCGACCCCTAGACTAAGCAGTTTCTTAGTCGACTTCAGGTACGTAGCCAGGGGGGGGGGGGGGGGCATGAGGCCGCCCCCCCCCCCCGAAATCTTCCATTTTGCAGGGACCTTCTCTCTCCCCTCCCCCTCATACAGCATTTTGACATGAGCGCCCCCCCCCCCCCCCCCCCCCCCCGAAACGAAATCCTGGCTTCGTGCCTGGTCGACATGTATATGGGAGGCCCCAGCTTCAACTAGTTGGCTTTCCTGATGATAATATTTAGTTGCCCCTTGTCCTTCTTCGTGAGGTTGAAGTACGTGATGCGGCTGAGGGTGAGGGCCTGTGTCATCCGTATGAGGTCGACCTCCTTATGTCCATGTTTGCGACTGGTGAGCCGGCTCATCATGTGGATGATTTGATCTGCGGAGTTTCGCAGGAGTCGCATCGTGTGGGTCGATCGGCCATCCTGTTGGAGGTGATATGCGTCATCTACTTGGATGTAAAAGCATCTACACTCCTTGAAAGGTTGTCAAGCATCGTGTGAAGCAGGGATGTCCTGCGGACTCGCGGTCTTCACTCGACGTAGGTAGTCGACCAATGCCACTTCGAAGACAAGGCCAGCGCATGACGTCAACGTTAGTGGAACCCCAAGTTTCCCCTTGCATCAAGCACATTGAAGCTCGATGAGAGCCGCCGCAAAGCGGCAGATGCGTCCGTCTCAGCGACGCAGTGTGCTGGCGTCGCACTTGTTATGAGACGCTGCAAGACGCGCTGAAGGCAACGCTGGCGCAAGCTGCAGAGGTGCTGCGTGGGTCCACTTGTGATGACGTGTGGGAAGGACAGACGTAGGTCTTGACTTCCTTTCAAACGCAATGAAACGGTGCTCTGTGAGGCCTATATCTAAAAAGTGTTTCGCGAGCATGCTTGCAAAAATAGTGAAAGGGTTAGCTGGAGGATATGAAAAGAAGAAAATAAGCGGGTGTTTCGGAAAAAGCAGAGTAGCGAAATACGAGTTGCAGGGCTGAAACTGGGGTTCGCAATCGCAGCGGAACGTGAACGTTGCTTTCCTGTCCCGCTGAAGCACTAGCTTTCGCATGACTTTCTTTTACAGACGCTACGCGGGACAATGCTCACGCCGTTGAGGCCTAAATTACATGGCACGTTTATCTGTACAAGATTACCGCGAAGAAATACACAATATATTCTGTTAAAACTGCTTTTGACACGATAGTACGTGAAAGGGGCGAATTGTCTGTACGCTAAGAATGAAGAAGGCTTAGTATATTAAAAGCGTTTCTTATGTTCACACCCGTAATAACTCAAGCACCCCTAAAAGAGGGTGTCTGTATGAAGATAATCTATAATTGAAAAATCTCTACGTAGTGAAGACTCAATCGCACGCATGTAGGAAGACCTTACGTTTTATTTTCTATAGCTCGGTATGTTTGAAAACACCACATTTGCTCCAGTCATACGCGATGGTTTTGTTTTGGTCGGCCATCAAATCATAAGCCAAAGAACATCCATATGGCACATCATTGTGTTTTTTCAAGTGGCTATCCGTTACCCATACTTGAACCCCTGGAACATAGCCGAAAAGAAATCGCTATTGTAAGTAAACTGGCTGTGGTAGGTTATTCCAACTTTTTGAGATTATTTAAAATATCCGGCATGGTTGAAATAATCTAAAATTATCTGCGATTTTATGTTTGATTATTTGTTGTGCGTCTTTTTTTTACCTGGAAAATAACATGGCATGAGACGTACACATGCTGTGATTAAATTTTCAACTGTGCTTAGTTTGTTTGAATACTTCATAAACCCGCGCGCGCTCTCGTCTTCTACTGCTGCGTGTTTGGGAAATGAAAACTAGCGGTGGCAGAGTGTTCTAATTTTTTTCAACTTGTTTCCTACATGATTTCCTTTTTCCCTAGTTCAATCGATGAAATGTGTTTATTAGGACACTTTTATGTAAACTCCGCCTAGGGTGGTGCCAACTGTCTGTTTCCCTGCCCCATATCCTTCCCATTACATACTTGTTTTCCAGGCATATCCACAAAAATGGAAACAAAATAGAGTCAGTTTCAGTCTACAGACTCCGACAAAATTGTGCGGCTACTTCCGTTTTCATAGGGCCATCTTACGCGGGGTGGTTCGCCGGGTGTGGGTGTGGATGTTGTACTTTGCGCTTTGTTTACTCTACCGTTTTGGATTTTGTTCGGGCAAGCCAGAAGAATAGTTCATTCGTATAAAACGCGAGTATTATTGACAACTCAAAATTGTTATTTCTGACGCCTAAGCTTCGATTTTGTTTTAGCTATCTTCATTGCAAGCTACACTTACCAAAGCAAGCGTATCCCTTCTAAATATATCGCGCACTTAATCTGCTTTCGTGTTGAGAATGTTATGTTGGCTACAGGTTTGTTTGATCAGCGACTTGTAGTTGTTCGACGGAAGTTACGTACGGTACTTCCTAGCCCTGATAGGAATTATCGCGGTGAATAGTCGTGGCTGACGAAAATGGCGAAAGTAACCGGGGCTAACACAATGTCGTAACAAAATATTTTTTCCATCACAAGCGGAGTTCACATGAAGTCACTCTAGCTTTTATTACGACTTGCATTGCTTCGGTACACTTTAAGCTCGCTAACCTCCGTCACCGCCTAAGATAGACCACGTAAGCCTCCATTTTTATAGAACTGCGTTCATGGAACCTTTGACAATGGCAGAGTGCTACGCTAGAATGGCAGAGTACATCCGGAAAATGTGAAGCCTCAGTATAAAATTCAACAACTTGGGATATAATAAAACATTTTTTTGGAATAAAGAAAAATGTAGGCTTAATCCTTTGGAATACACTTTGTTAGGAAATATTAACACTGACCGTATACGACTGATACCGATAATTTGTTATGTTTTGAGCGCGCACTAAATTGCTCTTAGCTTAGTATAAACAACCCTAACTTTCTTGCAACTCCGAGCCTATCTTAAAACCCCCATGCAAAGTTGCTTTGCGTGCCAGTTACATTGGATATCAAAACAATCTTTCCAGTCGCGACGCGTGTTTTTCAAACACGCTAAATTTTTATTTAGAAAAATCGACAGAACATTGATGTTTTAAATTTGTTTTGACCTTGATTATTCAATGTCTTGTCGAAGTTCGCTCTGCCTTGGGTACATTGCATGGGAAACATAGGCTAGTTCTCTTAAATATCATAAATATAACCTAATTATAATACAAGTTGATGTATAGGGTGGTACAAGTCACCAGGCCCGATGTAAAATAAACCGTAAAAATCGACGCCTGCACGTAGCAATCTAAACTTTTCGTCAAAGGTGTATTTCACGGGTTTTTTCTTTTTGTAAAATTTCAAAGTGTAGTTTTCTTTCTGTAAACAAATAAGGCCAAGAAACTTGCCAGGGTCTACGGCGTGCAGCGACGCAGACGACAGGGGTTCAGTAGTGGGGTGTGTTTGGCATTCGTATTGATTGATGGCGCTACCTCCGTATAGCGACGGCTCGCGACCACCGTGGTTTATTAAAATGAACATAATCTTTTTGAAATGTACTATCGGGAAAAATGAAGTGCGAACAGAGGAGCGCGTGGCTCGCGGTACAGGCAGCGCCGCCTGGAAGTGAGCCTAGGAGCGAGGGTGCGTGGCCTACTCCGACGTGTTCACGCCCCTCCCTCTGCGCTCCCCAAGCTTCAGCAGTGCGCCTCTTGGTGCGCTGAGAGCTATCACCGCTATCTTTGCTGGCTCAGCGCGTGCGGTGCAAAGAAGCTCGCCGCACCCGCCGAGCAGGCAAAGATAGCGGTGACAGCTTTCAGCGGACTGAGAGGCGCACTGCCGAAGCTGGTGGAGCGCCAATCGAGGGGCGTGAACACATCGAAGTAGGCCACGCACCCTCGCCCCTAGGTTCACTTCCAGGCGGCGCAGCCTGTACCGCGAGCCACGCGCTCCTCTGTTCGCATTTCATTTTTCCCCGATAGTACCTTCGGTTAAAAAATAAATTCAGACAATCAAAGCAAAACGTAAAGTAAAAAAAACGCGTCTGCATAAGGGCGGCGCTTTTGCTGCCAACGGATTTCGTCTGCGTGTCGTCTGCTTTTTTTCGCTGGTCGGCTGCACTATAGTGGCTTAAAGGGGGTAGTGTAACGAACGAAACCGGAGAAGCGGTACAGCGTTGGAAGACGGCCGCGGGTGGGCGCTGGCGCTTGCAGCATCGTCGTTCCGGCTATGGCTCCGGCTTGGCCGCTTGGTCAGCTTGGCTCCAGCCAGCTCCGGCCGATTCGCAGCTGTCGACTACACTGTCGTCTGCTAGTTTCACAGTTTTATTCTCCTTCAAACACAAATCATGTCGTTGTAAGTTCACTGGAAACAAATAATTGTTTTTGAAGTATTTATATTAGTTGTGAAGCGTGTTAAGGCCTGTGAAATACACCTTTGACGAAAAGTTTAGATTGCTACGTGCAGGCGTCGATTTTTACGGTCCCTTTTAGATGGAGCCTGGTGACTTGGACCACCCTATAAGTAGTTTAGATTATTCATATTTCATACACGCTGATATGTACGTACGTACAAAAGGAAAGTGAAAATGATGCAAGTTTTTTATGGACTGAAGTACAGTCGTTCTTAAACCGTACACGCTTATTAAAATACCACTGATAAGTTTGTAAGAATTTAGCTTCTAGGTGTATCAACAGAGTCTATGTCCTTTAAGTAAACTTTTGTAATCTTGTTAAAGGATATTTTGTTTAGTGTTCTAAATGTTGTATTATGAAATACCCAAGTATGCAGATTTCAGAACAGCACATGATTTGTAGTCGGTGAAAAGCAACTGGTAAATCTGTCCTTCCCTTTTTCCACCTGTGTGAATAAAGGTAAAAACGCAATTCAATTAGCTTTTAACTGATTGAAAAAAATGGCAATAATGTGTATCAGACTAGCAACTGACAAGGGTCATAGAATATGTTTCCTAAATAGCGTGCGTTTATATAGCTGAAAATAATTAAAATAAGACTCCATAAAAAGCGTCGCTTCCTTCTGATAATGCTAATCATTATGAGACGTGAGGGCAAAAATTGACGTCATAATCAGAAAACGAATCACACTACCTTCGCTAATTTGCCCCTATGTTTTCGAATTAGCTGGTACATTTCATATTGGTTGCCCATCGCTGCTGGTGGACCACAATATTCAATGGCAAACGTAGGCTGCCCGGAGATCTTTATACTGGCACTGAGTGGAAACAAAGCGCCGAAAGTTTCTAATTATAAGAAACCTTAGAGTACTGCATACTTTTGCTGCGACCACCTTTTCTAGGTATATGTCTCGGTCGCCGGATCGACTCGCAATTGCTCAACTGTTCAATAACTGAGCCGATAGTGATGATGCCAATTCAGGGCGAAATATCTGGAGCTATCTCGGCTCCACTAATTCAGCCTGGTATAGCGTAAATTTGCCACTGAATAGCGGAATCAGAATATTTTGTAAATCCAACAATTATTATGCCATGTTAGTACGACAGATAGAATACTCTCTCTGACCGTATTACACCAAACATACAAATATTTCAAAGATGAATTATTGCACTCACGCCGCATTCATGACCTCGCTACCACGCCTTGGCTAATGAGGTTTAATGAATGAAATCATTAGATTGTTTTCATTTCCATTTGTTTTCAATTATTTTATCTTTATAGCATTTTGTAGAGGAATATTTGATTGCTCATGGTTCATACCTTGGACCTCCAAGGGCTACTTTTTAAACGAATCTTATAGCTTTTTATTATAGAAAAAATATCAGATTTTGGGCTTATTTTGAGTACCGATTTGTAAGAAAGAGGAATGTGGAGAAGATTGTAGAACGAAAAAATAAACATTATTCTTTATTATTGTGTTTTTTTACGAACGATGTAATGCCTATAGCTTTGTTGTAAATGCCAAATTTGAACTACTGAATATTTTGAGAGAGTTCTTTCTACATAAAATAATGAATCTCTAGATTTTACCCAGGTTGCACACCAGTGAAACGCCTGACTTGGTCCAAGCTTGACATTCCTAGTGTTCTAACTTGGATCAGATACGGTTTTGCTCCAAGGCGTTAGCGCCAGCGTACTTTTCTTTCGCGTTCCTTTGACTTTTCTCTGGCCCGCCGCATAATTCACGAAGTGCCAGAATTGAGCCAAAGATGCCAAGTATAAACTGAATAACCAACAGTGAAGCCTACATTTGGCACTTGTTTGACAATTTTGGCCCAAAGTTGCGGCACAAAAACCAAACAACCCGAAGTGAAGCCTCAACATGGCACTTGTTTGGTGATTTAGGCCCAAAGATGCCAGATGGCAGCCAAACAATCAGCAGTGAAGCATAACTTTGGCACAATTCTTTGGCGCATTAGGGACAAGATACTCATATTCTGGCCAAAGAAGGTCAAATTTGGTTCTACTATAGCGTTTTCGGGCTAGAGCCACAAGTTCGCAAAACACAAACAGATTTGAGCCCAAACGATTGTGCCACTGGGTATCCAATGACGCAAACATAACACTATAAATTATTGTTTCAAAGACAGGGCTTACTTGATTGTTTGGCAGGACGTGCTTCTTTTTTTGCCGCATCCGTTGATTCTACTGCAATTAAAATGTGTAGGACTCGTTTACATTCCATCATACATTATATGACATCAAAGTCTTAAAAAAATCTTCAATTCGTTGCAAGTTTCTACATCGTAGGATGCATAAAAATATGGCATTTTAATATGTATTAATCTACGAATAAGCATTACAATACTAATTGAATATTTACGCTCCTAAATCGATTTAAAATGCCTTTTTAAGGGGCATGGGCAAGGTTCAGTGATACTGACGTAAATAATTGGAGTGTGTTTTTTTTAACTGGCCGCGAAACACACTCACAGTCATTTGGGAATATACTCGTGATATTCTTCGGATGATGTGATTTTGCTCGAGTTGATTAAAATGCTTATTGCAAAGTCCTTAAATAAATTTTAATAAAATTTCAGATTGATAAAAAATATATTTGTCCTGCCAAGCTCCGAGCTTTAAACGTAAGGATTTTTAAATTAAACTTTTCTTGCGCGGAAAGTAAAAGTATGAGCTCATCTTGTAACAACATATTTCGCAACTTAAAGTGTGACAAGTGAAAGAAGGTAACAAATACGTGTCTAAGCATTCCTCATGAGGGCCAACACTTTTCGCAATAAGTAGCGCATTGCGACTTTAAGAAAATGCCAAGGCTTCTTCTGGGTAAGAACAGCTTGATATATTCCCGCATGCATCGTCTCCGGTCATGTGACAAGCTCTTGTTGCTGTACCATACTGTCTCTCACGATCAACAGTCTCTAGAATACAATATTTTTTTTTATATATATTTCAGACTGTAACCTGACGGAAAAACGCTCAAAAGATTACTCATTTCGATTAATTTATATGTTTGTAAAAGACTCCGTCAGGTCAGAGAAAGTTTGGGAATAATTCAGTATTTAGAGCGTGGAAGCCAAGTGCGTATACCACGCATACTTCTCCACGATTTGTGAAAATATCGACTATAATAAGTCAAGTGCTCGCACATCGCGCCCCCAACAACTCTTCACAGCAATCTTGACAAATATTATATATTTCTTATAATTTATGTGCTGTGAATATATAACCGTATTACAATGCCTATGAAACAGTTCCAATATGCTTGCAATATTGTAATACTGCGGTGAGTAAGACTCCTTGCATAGTCACCCCTGCTTTCTGAACAGAAGTAAAATTACAGCAAAACATGTGCAAACTGAACGAAGTGAAAAGTTTTTTTTTCACAAGCAAAGATCTCTTTGTTACTTTCTGAGTTTCACATTTCATACTCCCTAAAGCGTCCTGTGTGAACATATCTGGACGTCGTCGATGTTGCAATTGGGATTGGTAATAAATATTTACGGTTTACGTGCGAGCAAAGCACTAGTTTCCTAACTGAAGGTTGCTTGCATTAGTTTACTAATTATGTATATTCTTACCCACAAGAAAATAATTTTCCTTTTCATATGCTTTATCGCTCTTTCGAGCTTCCACATTTACAAATCCTGTTACGCTGGAAGAGTGCGAATATATATATTTTATCAAAAAGGCAAACAACGCGACGGACAAGGAGAAATAAAGGATGTGAACAGGGCAAGTGCTATCACGCCAGTGACATTTCAATGCTAAGGTAGGGTCTATAATTTCTTGATCACTGAATCAAAATAAAGATTACAAAAATAAAGCGTTTTTGAAAAGTACGGTGAGAATAAATATAAATGAGAGGAAACAGAACCGATGTAAATTTGGAGTTTCAAAAACTTGGACTCGATTTAACAAAAGTTTCAAGCATAAAACACTAAAAAAATTAAAACAGAAATGCACTCGTCTGTGTTTCGTCCTCTCTCTGTTTTATACTTTCTGTTATCTAAAAAAAATAAGTTTTATATTTACTCAGCATTAGAAACTACAGTTCATATAGTACATTGTCTTAGTCAATGATGCTACCGAGGGCGCACTGGTACTTAACTATGTGTCCCTCTTTGGCCATGACGGTTTGAGACGAGCTCTTTCTGGCTTTGGATATGACGCCCTTTCAATACTAGAATTTAGGGATTACTGGTGTGCGTTTAAAGTCGACAGAATTGTATAGCAAGATATCCTGCCATGAATGACTTGGGCAAGAGGCAGTGTTCTTTTAGTCTGATGTTCACACACCAGTCATATTGTCTTTCAGGCTGGCCCAACACACCTTTCCACGCGGGAGCGGGATTTTATAAATGACCCCACAGATGCATTTCGCTTATTGATTTGATGCATTACTGCATAATCTTAACAGTTTATCGGCTCAAATAGACTTTGTCGCGCTATTACGCTCTTGATATGGTACCCAATTAGCCCAGAAGATCTTTTTGATACAAATTTTAATCACAGATTTCATAATTAAAACTAGAAAGATGCAGCAAAATAATTATGGCAGGAGAAGGGTTCATCTGCGCATATAGCCCAAAACGGATTAAAACTTTCGCATTGCTTTTGAGAAATTTTCTGTAAATTGTGAAAACGTTGCTAATAAACAGAAGCACTTACCTTTGGGAATTATTCCGGTAATAAAATATGTACTGAGCGTTTTTCTCTTGAGAGTTAATTGAAATTCTGAGTGCACCCAAACAAAAATGATCTTTATCGAATTCAATATTTTTTGAGTGATACACGAGATAAAATATATCGTGGAAGTCTCCCACCAGCTGTAATTGTAAAAGAAGTTGAAAATATTATTGAACAAAATAACGCGTAGACTCCTAACTGTTTGCACTTCATAACACGTGAACCTTTCACACATTAAACCGTGAAATAGGCAGCCGGTGTGGACAATGGGGCGATATATATTATAATAACGTAAGTTAACACAACATGACAAATTATGTCTTTCATGCGTTTAAAGGGACACTGACAGGGAATTTATGCTCGTTAAGGTTTTTATTTGTACATGACTCATGCAAAGCCAAACTACCCAGTACAAGATTTGCAGCTGGAAACTTGTTTTCTTTCTGCCCGAAAACCGCCGATTGAGAACTGGCCGGTTTGAGTCGCGCTCACTCTCTTCTCCGTGGTCACGTGCTGTTTTCTATGGTTTCAAGCACACACAAAATATAATCAAAGTCGTGGGTCATCCAAAGCACACACTCAATATTAAAAAAAGATATGATGCTTATTTTTGTGACTAAAAAATTGAAAGACGTATAAAATTCCCAGTAATGCCGAATTAGAGCGCAGCTCTTGAGGAGGAGGAGGGGAGGATACGAAGAGGAGTGTGTGCCCCTCCTCCTCTTCCCTCCTCCTCCCGCTCTTCCTTCCTCTCCCCTCCTCCTTCCTCCTCTCATTCTCCTCCCCTCCTCTCTGCCTCCCTCCCCCCTCGTGACATCACTCGTGACCCTCGGGACGTCACACGTGACGTTACTCGTGACCCTAGTGACCGTCGTGACGTCGCTCGTGACCCTCGCGAAGTCACTCGTGACGTTACTAGTGACCCTAGTGACCCTCGTAGCGACCCTCGTGACGTTTCACTCTTAAAGGCCTTGTGAAGGTTGTGAACATCGTCGTGACCTTCACGAGTGACCTTCATGACGTCACTTGTGACCCTCGCGATGCCAGTCGTGACGTTACTTGTGACTCTAGAAACCCTCGTGCCGTCACTCGTGAAGGCCTCGTGAAGGTCGTGACCACCCTTGTGACCTTCGCGAGTGACCTTCATGACGTCACTCGTGACCCTCGGGACGTCACTCGTGACACCCGTTACGTCACGCGTTACGACACGTGTGACCCCCGTGACGTCACACGTAACGACACGTGTGACGTCATTCTGGGAAAGGTCCCATAATGGAACGCGCGGTTACGCCGATGGCGACGGCGACGCCGCTCAAGCCGGAAACGGGCGCCTAAGAGCTGCGCTCTAAAAACTGCGTATTCATTGATTGAACAAAAAAAAAGAAACTTGCACCGAGAAACGGAAGCACACTGTGCATTCTCTGCGTAATTTTCAACATGGCGTTGTATCGCTGTGCTCGCGGGAGTTGCGGTTGGACGGCTGAACGAAGCGAGCTGAGCGATGGCGGCGGTCGACGGGCGTGAGACCTCTACTTCAGAATTGTTTGTTGTACCGGCGAATCTATCTAGGTTTGGAAGAGAAATTGTTTACAGATCGAAACTATTAGGATTTATTCCGTACGGCACGCCCGACAACCAAGCTGATTCGCACGAAGACGTCGCCGAGTCTTCGCCCCTTCGCCTGGCCGAAGACGGGGCTAGTTTTACGAACCCGAATGGGTAAGAGCTTGAAAAACTAGCAAACGTCAAGACGCACTGCTTGTCGTTTTCGTTATTTTTGTGCGAAGTGCGAGGCGAGCAATTTTTGCCTGCTTCACACTAAAAAAAGAAGAAAAAAGAGAAAAAAAAGCGGTTGGGTGGGCCTTACGGGACTCTCGTCCAAATCCCACCTTCTCTACAATCCTTCTTCTACCCTAGTTCAGTTTCGGTTACGGTTTCAAGCAGTTTCGTTTTTTCTTTAATTCATTAAAAATATAAAATATGTACTAAAATATTGATTGTATAGACTTCTGACACCATATTGTATCGCCTGGCAAAATATACAAAAAATGTTTTGAGGGGTGTCAGTGTCCCTTTATTTCTTTTTAGATGACCTTTGACATGAATTGCAATAAAAAGTAAGTAGTTTGAGTAAAGGAATTTGATAATTTTAATATTTATTAAGTATGAAGCGAGTGGTCGCAACTAAAATTGATAATATCACTCGAGGGAACGATGATGTCACATAAACATCATCGTTCCCTTGCACAGAAGTAAAATAAACAAAAAACAGGGGAATGATTTGAGGCACCAAAGACAATTGCGTATTTGGGGTTGGCATCAGAGAGCATACCAGTCCAAGAAACAGTCTTCACGACCAGAAGCAGCGCTACTTGGAAAAGTAGTCCCGCTAAAGTCGGCGGCAAAGCACACACCAAAACCAGTCTGGAAACCATTGAATGGTTCACTTTCATTCGATCCATACACCGATGAGCAACAAGATGGCAGCGCCCATAGGCCGTACTCCACAAATTGTCACCACTTCTGTGCAAATGGCCAAATCACCGGAGATCTCATTGTCTTTGCCATGCTTGTAAACGTGGGAAAGTAAAGGTTATATGATGAGGCGAGGCGTTTCAGAAACCCTTAGTACTGTGTGTGATCTGCACATAGTGCGTAGCTGCGAATACATTATCCCGATCAATATAAAAATTCATCTGAGTTGCCAAAATAACATATTTTTAATTATCAAGGCGGTTACAAGCCATTTAATCGATATCAACGTCTAAATGGCATGTCAAGACATTAAAAGTGAACGATGTCAAATCCTCAGAAACTTACCTTTGTGGCGGACATAATTTTTGTGAGCACCAAGAGAAAATAGCTCTATTATGGCAAAGCCGACTGCACAATTAAGTTTAGTTTGACAAGTAGCACCACCTTATGCGGCATTTTCGGCAATCTGAGACGCCCAGGGGTTGTACTCATCAGATCCAATCTCGAGCTCAAACCTCGGAGTGCTCTGCCGAACTTTAAAACAGCGCTAGTGCCAAATTGTTCGGTTGTTTGGACTTCGAAAAGTTGCCATTTTTGCTCTCCATCTGCGCTGACTAGCAGCCGACCGAGGCGCCTCCCTCGCTTTCTTGGAGCTGCTAAACCGAGCGAAGCGTAAATCAAAATAAAATAAAAACGCAATACTTCTCATGGCTGCGACAATGCCCTTGGCATAAACCATGACACTAAAGCATGTTGTTGACTGATATTCTATGAAACGTTTTTAAAATAATATTTAAATAATATTTAACTTTAGTAATAGTCGTCAAAATATAGTATTAAATTTACTTTTAGTTGGCACATTTTTGTTGCCCCACTGGGAGGTCAATATGTGCAGAGATCCAGTAGAACAGGAAGTGCATAACACACACTTTAAGAGGAACTTCAGATAATGAAACTACAGTGATATATATTAAACGTATATATTTATATATACCGCAAAATTAACAGATGATTTTTACTGAACTGCTCCTTCGCAAATGCGCACGGTTCCAAAAGGCATAAACAAAATATTGAACTGATTATAATTAAATTTCATTATATGCGCCACCTTTTTTACCTGCACAGCTGCGGGTCACGTTTTCAACAAGCTAATTAGCTCTTTTTGTGTAGAATTTTGAAGCTCCTTGTGTCTGGAGAGTCCAGGGACCGAGCAAATTTCTCCATGGGGAAGCGACTTTAAAAGGTCTACGCTAATGTTTGGGTCAGTGATAAGGATAATAATATAAAGCAAAATACCTTCCACGCATCGGGAGGCTCCTCGAAATACTTTTCGATCTCGGTTGGGTCGCAGTCGTCGCAGTGGCATTGTGTCACCATTGCTGTCAGCGTAAGCAGCAGGGAAGCAAGCATTGAAACAACTTGGTTCATTTTGAAAAGTACAACGAAGTAAAAGTATTTCGACGAGCTAGCTAAAGCGCTTCTTTTCCTTTTTGTTGACGCCGTGGCGATATTCTATCTGTTTGTAGATTTGACGTTACGAGTGGGCGCTTTGAGGTACACACAGCTGGAGTTAAAAGGTCAACAAGAAATGTCACTTGCAACATATTTGAGCTTCGGTTGCTGTTTTTTGTTGTTGTAGTTTCTGCGGCGTTCCGGCTGCGGTAGAAGGGTGAATAGAGAAATGAGAGCGTTTTCTTCTTTTTGTGACAGAGGGCGCTCTTATTTCGGGCCGAGAATGAAGAGCTGATAACCTGAAAGCAAAACCTATTCGGGCTTCTTTGTTTCGAAAGTGCAATATGAAAGGTATTAAAAAATTCAAAAAAATGAAAGCCGTTTACAACTCCCTGTAACGCCGAATTAGAGCGCAGCTCTTGAGGAGGAGGAGGGAAGGGTACTGGGGGGGGTGGGTCAAGTGACCTGGGGCCACGTGACGATGCCAATGACGTCATCAGTGACGTCACTGATGACGCCATCAGTGATGATGATGATGACGATGCGGATGCCGGTGACGTCATCAATGACGTCATCAGTGATGATGACGATGACGATGCGGATGCCGGTGGCGTCATCAGTGACGTCACTGGTGACGTCATCAGTGGCGATGACGTCAACGGGGGTCACGTGACCTCGGGAGGTAACCCCGTTGACGCACGTGACCCCGGGGGGGTCACGTGACCTTGGTAACCATCGTGACCCTCGTGAGGGTAACCCTAGTATCCCTTGTGAGGGCAACTCTCGTGACCCTCTTGAGGGTAACTCTCGTGACCCTCGTGAGGGTAACTCTCATAACCCTCGTGAGGGTAACTCTCATAACCCTCGTGACCCTCGTGAGGGTAACCCTCGTGAGGGTAACCCTCGTGAAGGTAACCCTTTTGATGGTAACTAACCCTCGTAACCCTTCTGAGGGTTACGAGGGTAAGTAACCCTTGTGAGGGTAACCCTCGTGAAGGTAACCCTTTTGAGGGTAACTAACCCTCGTAACCCTCGTGAGGGTTACGAGTTTAAGTAACCCTCGTGGCCCTCGTGATCCTCGTTAGGGTAACCCTCATGAGATTAACCCTCGTAACCCTCGTAACCCTCGTAACCCTCACGAGGGTTACGAGGGTTGCGGTTACGCCGACGGCGACGGCGACGCCCACGCCGCTCAAGCCGGAAACGGGCCCCTAAGAGCTGCGCTCTAAAAGTTACAATGATGTCACTGATATCACAGATGTGTATGATCGGGCGAAAAGAAGAAGAGGAGACTAACAGGAAAAGATGCACGATAGAGCTTCATCATGAATTCTCAAAATGTTCGTCTTAAATTATGCAAATAAATCAAGGGCTCGTAATATTATTTCGTTTGGTGACCCGGACGACTAAGACCTCAAGAAACTGAACTTTACAACCGACGCAGTTACACGGCGGCCAGTGAGTTGCGTTCATTTGCATTTTCCCATATTTGAGGCGTTACAAGGACTTACGCCATGGCTCAGGCTAACGCCGGAAATGAACAGCCGGTCACCGAGCCGCTCACTTGGAAACTCGCCGCTGTCAGCAGACGGCTGCCCAGATTCTTGCCTGCTGACGAAGAATTATGGTTCGCGCAAGTAGAGCTCTCCCGCAGAAACATCACTGCACAGCTGACGATGGTTTGCGAGGTCGTCTCATCGTTATCATCGGCATAGGCAATAGAAAAAAGAGACGTCGTAATTTCTCTGCCGGATCGAAATTCATATGAGCGTCTCAAGCAAGAAGTAATACGAAGAACTACAGCATCATAACAACAACGGCTACAACTACTAACGTCTGAAGAGCTTGGAGACCGAAAGCCATCCCACCTTCCTCGTAGCATGAAGCAACTCTTGGGAAATCACGCCTCCTTTGTCATTTCCCTCATACCATAGCTTATTTTACATCGTCTACCATCTGAGGTCCGGAGGATACTGGTAACCTCCCAACCCGTTTCTTTCTACGACCTCGCCGAACTCGCTGATAAGATTCTGGACACCGCCCTACTCATGGTACAGGAGACCACACGTCTCAGCGGTGGTCATCGACTATCTGCGAAGAATTCGCATATTTTTCATTTTCAAAAACTACAAGACTATGTCACCGATTTGATGAATAAGGTTGCCTCCCTTCGGCAGGTAGCCAAGTCACATATGACGCTCTTCATCGAAAAGTTCGGAGCACCTCAAACATTCAGGCAAGAAATAGATCTGGCATTGCTACGTACGGTCAAAAATCCCTCACTCAATCTGGTTTTTTCGCAAATATTTCGTTGGGTTTTTCTTATTGCTGACGTGCATCATCCAATATTAAGGGCATATTTTTTGTCGTACTTTGACTTCTCCGTCGACATGCGTAACTCACATATTTTCGACTTCACGATACGACAGCTGCTCCAGGGATAATTTCCAGAGTACGTCTCTGACGCTTATCATTTTCTCAATACAACATTTCTATCTATGATGACCTCCTCAAAAACTTTCCGGACCTTGCTCTACCATGCAACACTATGCGGCCACTTAAACAAAATGTAACACCTCACATTGTAACGATAGGACCGCCAGTCTGTATTCGGGCTCGACGACTAGCTCCAAAACGTCTCAAGATAACCCGCCAAGAATTGGACCACATGTTAGACTTCGACCTCATGCGACCATTAGTGAGCTCATGGTTGTTCTTCTCCACACAGTGCCTAAAGTGACTGCAGGCGACTGGAGTCCAAATAGGAATTGCCGTTCGTAAAAAAAAAAAAAAAAAAAAAAAGTGGTTTAAGCCAATTAATACCCCGTACCATATTTCAAGGATCTCTGAAGCAAACTTCAGTTGATGCAAATATTGCCGCGCGCGCAGCTGCCCAAGTAGCAGCGCACCCGTGGCCGAACGGTTATCGTGTTTGGCTCTTACCCAACAAGCCGAAGTTCGATGCCTAGTACGGAGGCACCTTTTGTTATTTTTATAATTGTCGCGTCCTGCTAACTTCGAGAACTCTGTTGCATGTTCGAGGTCAGAATGTTCTACGCGCCGAATCTTCTACGCCGTTTGTTCCGGAAGCCCGCGTGTGTACAAGAGGGGCTCCACGTGGCGAGGTGGAGTCAGCCTCGCCCCAGCGTTCGATCGTACTGTTTCGCCGCCATCGACGCCTGCAGCGCTAGCCTGGTATTACGTCGGTCTTCAAGGCCCCTGCTTGACGTCGTTGATGAATCAATTCGTCTAATGTGTTCAACTGCGCCTAAATGACCCGCGTGGCTACCCGATTAAGAGTTCCCAATGAGGCCCAGTTGGCCTGGGTAAGGCGCTGAAAGTGTGTGCGGTAAATAAGGCGAGGTTGGAATATCGCGCTGACCAACATCCAGGCAATCTAGCAAGGCCCCCCCCCCCCCCCCCCCCTCCCGTTTCGAGACCCCGCGGAAAATGTGCAGCATGCTGGAAGCTGACTTGCGGTTGGCGCGAAACCAAGGTGACTGTTGTGTGTTGGCAACCGAGGATATCCAGGGATGCCGGTGAACTGGTGCACGCGCGCAGGCACGAGACGTTCGACTGCTCTGGCCCCAACCCGGTCGGTTGTGCCCGCTGTATGCTCTAATGTATATATTATGTAAAGATTAAATACACAACATTGGCGACGAGGTGGAGTCAACCTGCGGCGGAAGACCTTCTCGAGCGCCGTTCACGGCGCCATGGCAGAAGCAAAGGCATCAGCGGCGCCGGCATTCGGCGGCATCGAAGAGTTCGCACCGAGCACCGGTGCAACATGGCCACTGTACCACGAAAGACTTGAGTTCTACTTTATCGCAAATGAGATCAAGTCAGCCGAGAAGAAGAGTGCAATCCTGTGCGCGGTCTGCGGGCCGGCAACGTACGCCATCGTTCGTTCCCTCTGCTCACCGGCTCTACCTTCCGAGACGAGCTACGACGACATCGTCTCGCGACTGGCGGCCCACTTCAACCCGAGGCCGTCCGCCATTGTTCAGCGTTTCCAGTTCGGGAAGCGCGACCAGCGTCAAGGAGAAAGTATCGCCGACTACATCGCCGAGCTTCGTCGGCTGTCGGAGCACTGCGCTTTCGGGCCAACGTTGGACGACATGCTCCGAGACAGGTTAGTCTGCGGCCTCCGGGAAGAGTCCCTTCAGCCACGGCTTCTCTCCGAGCCGGAACTAACCTTCGCGGTGGCCAAAGAGAAGGCGATAGCAGCAGAGTACGCCCACCACCAGACAGAAAAGATCAGGGGGGCGTCCGCAGGGAGCAGCGATGTGTGTCGTGTTGGTAAGCAAATGGCTCCGAGAGCTAAGCCTAATGCCGAGGCAGCAAGAGAAAGGACTGCGTCGAAGTCACAGCAAGACGCTGGCAAGTGTTTTCGCTGTGGAGGGTCACACGCACCAGACGAGTGTCGTTTTCGACACGCACAGTGCCACTTTTGCAAGCAGCGGGGCCATATCGTGAAAGTTTGTCGACGAAAAGCGAAACAGTCCTCACCGACGCCTAGGCCTACGGGTGGCAGCCGCCAGAACGGCCGACGGCGCGACAGTGAAACAGCGGATGTTTTTGGAATCTTCCAAATGACGGCCGAGGAACCTGCTATCCGCGTGGTCGTAGAAGTGAACGGGAACCCTCTCGAGATGGAAGTCGACTCAGGAGCGGTGTGCTCCGTGATCAACGAGAGAACTATGCGTCAGCTGCGGTTGTCCAAGCACAAGCTGCGACCGTGTGAACTACGTCTTCGCACGTACAACCAGCAGGAATTGAAGGTGCTAGGCTCCGTGATGGTCCAAGTCACCTATAAAGGGCGTCAAAAACGACTGCGTCTCGTCGTGATCAAGGGAGCAGGCGTAGGCTTGCTTGGCCGAGAATCGTTCAAGGCTCTTGGGATTGAGCTGAGAGTCAATCAGCTAGAAGAAGCAACGAACAATCAGAGCCCGTCCAGTGCAGCAGTGCTGAGTCGTCACGCCGACGTTTTCCAACCAGGTCTAGGCAAGAGCAAGGGACCACCAGTTCGAGTAGAAGTGGAACCGACTGCCCAGCCCAAGTTTTTCAAACCGCGTCCAGTTCCCTTTGCCTTACTACCAAAAGTAGATGAAGCCTTGGACAAGCTCATCAGGCAAGGCATTTTGGAACCGGTCCGACATTCCAGTTGGGCGACTCCAATAGTACCTGTGGTAAAAAAGGATGGCACAGTGCGAATCTGTGGCGACTACAAGAGTACGGTAAACCCTGTGGTCCGTTGGGAAAGCTACCCCCTACCCACACCTGAGGAACTTTTCGCGAAGCTGGCAGGCTGTGCAAGGTTTTCCAAGCTTGATTTAGACCAAGCGTACCTGCAGCTAACAGTTGACAGTGAAACAGCTGACCTTCTCACCATCACCACACACCGTGGACTTTTCCGTGTCACGCGCCTACAGTTCGGAGTAGCTGTTGCAGTCGCTATTTTTCAGAGGTACATGGAAGAGCTGCTGCAAGGGCTGGAAGGGGTGCAAGTTTTTCTCGATGACATCCTGGTAGGCGGTAAAGATGAATCCGAGCACAACACCCGTCTGCAAGCTGTGCTTCAAAGAATTCAAGACGACGGTGTCCGGCTAAAAAGGGACAAGTGCGTTTTTGGAGTGGATGAAGTTGTATTCCTAGGATACAAGGTCAGCAAAGCAGGAATACAGCCGACAGACGACAAGGTCAAGGCTATCTATGGGGCACCCGAGCCAAAATGCAAGAAGGAGTTGCAAGCGTTCCTAGAGGCACTCAACTTCTACAACAGGTTCCTACGGGGAGCGGCACAGACTTTGGAGCCCTTGTACAGGCTGCTCGACAACGGCCATAAGTGGAGATGGACTACGCAGGAAGCAGAGGCTTTTCTGCGGGCCAAGCAGCTACTGCAGTCTTCGGACGTCCTTGCCCATTACAGTGTCCACCAGCCACTAGTCATGGCATGTGATGCCTCTCCGTACGGACTTGGGGTGGTACTCAGCCACGTTGATAGCGAAGGCCGGGAGGTACCGGTAGCCTATGGCTCTCGAACTATGACAGCTGCCGAAAGGAACTACGCACAGACAGACCGGGAAGCTCTGGCGATAGGTTTTGGAATACGAAAGTTCCACAAGTTCATCTACGGTCGGCATTTTCGGATCGTGACCGATCACAAACCTCTACTGGGACTCTTGCATCACGCAAAACCGATGCCTCAAGTGCTGTCGCCGAGGATGTTGCGATGGTCGTTAATGTTGTCGGCTTACGACTACGAGCTGGAGTACAGGCCTGCTCATCAGCTCAGGAACGCGGATGCACTGAGTCGACTGCCTCTAACTGTGGAAGACAGCTCAACTGACGAGAAACTTTTTGAAGTCCGGATGCTGGAGACTGCGCCGAAGATTCCGTGGGATGCCCAGAAGATTGCCCGATGCACCCGGAACGACCCAACCTTGTCCAGAGTTCGACATTGGACGGGGGTTGGATGGCCTCAAGGCAGGCTGCCGGACGAGTTCAAGCCATTTGTTCGACGGCAGCACGAGTTGTCGGAGTATCGGGGATGCCTGCTGTGGGGATGTAGAGTCATCATTCCAGAGCAAGCGAGAGACCAGGTTTCGGAGCTGCTGCATACCACGCATCCCGGGATCGTCCGCATGAAGGCGCTTGCCAGAAGCACAGTTTGGTGGCCGGGTATCGACCAAGATATCGAAAGGAAGGTCCGAACCTGCCTGCCCTGCCAGGAGACAAGGCCGCAACCTGCACGTGCAAGACTGCATCCGTGGGAATTCGCCAGAAGCCCATGGTCCCGAATCCACATCGATTTTGCAGGAACCTTCCAAGGAAAGGTTTTTCTTCTGGTGGTGGATGCGCATTCGAAATGGCTGGAAGTCATACAGATAGCATCCATATCGTCAGCAGCAGTGTGTCAAAGGCTGCGAGTGCTGTTCGCAACACACGGTGTTCCCGACACTATAGTCTCGGACAATGGGACAGCGTTCGTCTCACAAGAATTTGAAGAATTTTTGCAGAGAAACCAGATCCGGCACGTTAAGGTGGCGCCATATCATCCATCGTCAAATGGCCAAGTGGAGCGCATGGTCCAAGAAACTAAACAAGTCCTCAGGCGCATGGAAGGAGGCGACATGGCCACCAAGTTGGCCCGATTTCTTTTGAGTCAGCATATTCTCCCGCACTCAACGACCGGAAAGAGTCCGGCGGAATTGTTGATGGGTCGGAGACTCCGTACTGCACTGGACCGGCTTCACCCAGACCTACAAGCAGAGATGGTGGACAAGCAAGAGGAACAAGCGCTGCGGGGAAGACAAGGTGTACGCGAATTCGAGCCGCGAGAACCAGTCTTCATCCGCAATTATTTAGCAGGCCCCAAGTGGCTACCCGGTATCATCACTGAGATCACCGGTCCGGTGTCTTACAAGGTTCGCACCATCGACGGTCGTTTCTGGAAGCGGCACGTGGACCAAATCCGGAGACGGGAGTGGAGCACATACCTGGACTAGGAGGAGCCTACGACAGAGCTGTCACCTCAGCAGCTCTCCTTACCAAGCGAGCCATCGCTTAGGAATGAATCGGTGGAAGAGTGCCCACGATCTACGAGTCAAGCGGACTTCCCTGAGGAGTCAACCCCAGTGGCAACACCTCCAGCTTCCCCACAACGTTCACCTGCTTCACCCCATGAACCGAGGCACCAAACAGTGTTGCCAACTTCAGCGCCTGCGCAAGAACAGTCAAATCGTCCCCAGCGACAACGGCGACGTCCCGACTACCTAAAGGACTATGTGACCTAGGGGGGAGGGATGTTGTGTGTTGGCAACCGAGGATATCCAGGGATGCCGGTGAACTGGTGCACGCGCGCAGGCACAAGACGTTCGACTGCTCTGGCCCCAACCCGGTCGGTTGTGCCCGCTGTATGCTGTAATGTATATATTATGTAAAGATTAAATAAACAACAGTGACGCTGAGCCAAAGCTAGGTAGTAAAGTCCACGCCAAGCACGGGGAGTGTAGACACCTCCGTCAGCACTGGATCGGCGAGGGATCGTCTAAGAGGATTAGAAGGAAGCATGCGGCGGCCCAACGATTAGGAATGGACATGTAGGCAGGCTTTTCGAGTGAGAGGGTGAGCCTTACTGAGTTTCAGCAGATTACAGTAGAATCCAATGCCACTTGCAGGCTCCGTGTTCGACGTTCTACAGAGGGGTGAGTGGTCCGCACTGTTACATCATCTACGTATATCAGAAAGTGAACATCTGAGATATGCGAGTAGTCCTAAGCCAATGATACGAGTGCTATATTGAAAAGCCGTGGAACAAGGACATAACTTTCTGGTACCCCCCGCTTCAGTGTAGTGTCCAAGGCTTGCCCCGCCTAAGCACACCGATAATTAAGGGCACATGGTAAGGTAAAATTGAAAAAAAAATCGATTTTAGTTTTTTTCGCAATTTGAAAAGTTTAGTTCTTTCTGCACATTTTCCATTGTCCCAGTGTTTTTGGAAAGCTATATTGCGGGCTGAAAATCACTTCTTCCGAAAGCAAGTAGCAGGTGACTACGCCTCCTTTTGGGATACACTCCCTGTTTATCGATGAATTCTCCAACAAAACAAAATCAACACAAGACCTAAAAGCTTGTCCAGTAACAGATAATCTAAAAAAAATATTTCAAAACTATTGCATAGCTTTTTTTCAACCAAGACAATCACGAGACGCTGTGCACGTTTTTCCCAGGTGTGTAACGTGTGTACATTCAAGTGTTTGTGTTTTCATAACGACAAAATGGCGCCATTGAATGCTGTTCCTTTATTCAATGGTGGCAGCATTGCACAAGCCAATGTTTTGAAGTTTTGTGGATGGAACCCTGTTTGGAAAGCCATCAAGTCGCTGAGGGAAGTTGACATCACTCTAATATACTTTACGGACCAAGCGACATGGCAGGTCACAAAAGAGGCCCGGCAAGCAAGGCGATAAGCCTAAAGGCGAAGATATGACTTTAGCAATGCCTTTCAAGCTGGCGGCTATTGAAAAAATGACTGTAAGGCTGTTGGTGCCAATAGAAATTCTTTATTCACCAGTTGTTTTACTTTAAACTCAATTATCTCAAAACAGTGTTTTTTAGTACATAGGTACCATTTTTTCCTTAACCTGACATGATAGAGGGTTGATTTTTTATTCCTACCACATACATGGGTGTTCAAAAATACTGAACTAAAATTAAAAATGTGCACCTAGCAGTTTTTGAGTTACAAAGTTTTAATAGATGAAAAAACATAAAATTTCATTACTAGAATAAAAAAAATATTAAAAAAACTTATTTTAGATTGGTTCAAATAATTCTAGTTCAGTGGATAAGACACAATATTTCGAACAAAATGATATATGCATGACAGAAATACTCCTAATAGTCACCGAGAAAACTGTTCCTCAACTTGGCCTCAAATGCATGGGGAGTATAGGACTTACCTTGTGCCCTTAAACAAATTGTGATAGTAGATAATTTTTCCTTTCTTCAATTCCTTGTTCAAAGTATTTCTGTATGCCTTGAACATATTAAGCTTCTCTGGGTCTTTACTTGTGATGAAAGATTGATATAGTTTGTTTTTTATTTTAATCTTTACAACTAATTCTGAAGTTATCCATGGTTTTCGAGCTCTCTTGAAGCGCTTAACATTTACATAAGGGAAGTGTTTATCATATATAGCTTTGAAAATTCAAAGAAATGTCTCATAAGCTTGATTCGCATCAGCTTTGTTTAAGACCGGAGTCCAGTCTCCACTGTTCAAACTATCTCTGAAATTATCTAGGCTGTCGCTGATAATTTTTTGTACCCGAGTGTGAAGTTTAGGGTAATTACGTTTATTTATATTTTCATCTAAACAAAAGAAAGTTGCAAAATTGTCTATGATATCACAAGCTATCACACCTGATTTTGTTTTACATAGCTCAAAATTGGAAATGAATAAATCAATCAACGTTTCTGACGTGGTAGTAATACGTGTTGGTTGATCTATAACGTTCACGCAACCGTTTACTTGAAAAAGCGTAGTAATATTCCTCTTTAAACTACTATCGGTTAACATGTCAATATTAAAATTCCCTCCCCAAATTACGTTGTACTGTTTTTCTTCTATATACATAAAGAAGCTATCCAAAAATTCACAAAACTTTAAAAAGTTTCCGTCTGGGGGACGATAAAATACTGACACAACATGTTTATCTATTTTTATCGACAGTACCTCATAGTCATCGGTAGAGCGACAATACTCAGATAAAAGTTCGTAGTTCATTAATTTATGAATTAACATAGCAACACCACCACCGCGCTGAGATGGCCGATTTACGGTATGGGTATTGTAATCAGGAAGTTTGAAAGCATCACTATCACGTTTATACCAAGTTTCCGATAGCATAATTACGTCGAAAGAGACATCCAGCTCATCCAAAAAAAAGCTCCAAATCAGCAGATTTATTTTTGGCAGATCTGGTGTTTAGATGAAAACATTTCAGTGAGGATGCACATTTAGCGCCCAAAAATATTTTAAGTTCTCGCGGCAATAGAATATTGGTAGGCGCCATCTCGCAAGATGACCTGAATTAACATATTAGACAAACAAGAATGTTGAATTATCGAATCTTTGCAAGGTCATCCACATTCTTTTTCGCGCACAATAACCTTTCCATTTTTATGCCATGCATACTTGAATCGGTTGGCACTCGCCCAGTCTTTCGCGGCGTGAAGGAGTTCTTTGTTTTGACGGGTCATGTTTTCTTGGATGTAGATATCACACCGCTGCTTTCTTAATTCATTCTTTTTTTCGAGCCATTCATCTCGAGTCTGCTGTTTTGCAAAGCGAACGATGACTGCTGGAACCTTTCCAAGCTTCGGAGGGAGCCGGTGTGCTGACACCACCTCCGGCTCTGTGAGATCTGCTACACCGATCTTAGCTGCTACGTCGTTTATCTTCTCGAGCAAGTCTTCATTATTAGTTAGCGGAATGCCATGGAATTCTAGATTTTGGCGCCTGCTCCTCCACTCGAGGTCACTGTCAAAAGACGAAATGAACTATGCCATCTCAGAAAACGAATGCCTATCTGTAATCTGGGCTATAACCAAGTTTCGACCGCACATCTTTGGACGTCCATTTAAGGTAATCACCGACCACCATGCCTTGTGTTGGTTGCCTGATTTAAAAAAAAAAAAAATACAGTGGACGCCTAGGCCGAGCGACAGGAGTGTTCCCAAAACGTATGAAAGTCGCTAAGGTGTCTGTTATATACAAAAAAGGTAACAAAATGATCTTGGTTACTATAGGCCTATTTCTATCGTACCTATCTTTTCAAAAGTATTGGAAAATATATTGCATGATCGTTTGACAGTATTTCTTAATAAACACGATGTGCTCATTCCCAGTCAATTTGGTTTCCGTAAAAATCATTCTACTGAATCTGCTTTACTTACACAAAAAGAATTCATTTTACAAACTTTGACGAGAGAAAAATTGTACTCGGGGTCTTTATTGATTTTACAAAGGCTTTTGATCTGCTAAACTAGAAAATACTTCATAAACTCGAGCACTACGGTGTGCGAGGACACGTCCTTTCTCTGCTCAGTTCCTATTTACAGTACAGACATCAATACGTTAACATAAATGGACGCTGCTCAGAAGTAAAGCCTCTTCTCTCGGTGGTTCCGCAGGGAAGAATACTTGGTCCCCTTCTTTTTAATATTTATATTAATGATATCACCAGCATTAAACCGAACTCAAAGTTTGTTATATACGCAGATGAGCCTGTTTTTCCCGGGTGAACAAGCCGATGATATTATAACTATAGCAAATCACACCTTGTTAAACTGCATTAATGGGCGTCGAGAAACTTCTTGAAGATTAATACTGCAAAAACCGAGGCAGTCCTCTTTCGCCCGAAAAATAAAGTAATCTATATTTCGAAACAGGTTCTATACAACTAATGGATGATTAAATTAAGAAACTCGTTTAAAACCCGTGGAGTGTTGTTTGCGGAGGACATGACTTGGAGTAAGCAGATAGGTTATGTTACATCTAGATCAGCGCAGACAGTAGGTCTAGTACGACGTCGCAGCTCCATACTTCCTACAAAAGTTAAATAATTACTGTAGAAGTCTCTGTTTTACTTGCATGTTGGTTATTGCTACCTTTTGCGGGGCGCAATTATAATTGCCAACCTAAAGAATACATTGGGGCTCCAAACCACGCTGTGAAGGCGGTTGGTCAGCGAAGCTATCACCTGCAACGATTGCCTACTGCACTACACGAAATGCCGCCGCCGGTCTCAGCACGCCGCCGCTGGTCGTATTGCCGTTTCTTTTGCCCTTTTTGCCGCTCCTAGTGTTCACGCTGCTCCTCGGGAGTCCCAACTATGCGTGGCCTAATCATCGCGGTGCTGCAGCAACAATGAAATCCGTTGCTATACTCCGTTTCATCTTACATTTAAGAGCAGCGGATGTTACGAGCCATCGGAGCCAATCAGAGGCTCTGTGAGTGTCACGTGACCTTAGAGAGGGGGCACAGCGACGCGCGCAAAGCGTATC